AGATGTGTATAAGAGACAGGTACAGGCCTACTCTAAAGTAATAACTTTCCCACTTTCAGACGATTTCAAAAAGACCGCGATAACTTGGAGGCGAATGTGTTTTAAATGTCTGTAAGTACTGTTTACGTCATGCGAAGTTCAATCTACGAAGTACCTTATTTCAATTGAACAATACTGGACATTTTGGTGACTGACATAGTATGGTGTAGTGTTACATTCTATTACAATGAACCAATCAGATCAGGCCCTATGGGTGCGCACGCACCGACCCCCAAAAATGACTCCCTCCTCAGTCGCTCCATTCATTAAAAATGTTCGCAGAAAAAGAAAAAAAATGCAGCAAAAAAACCCTTATTTTGCAAGCTAGTATAACCTCTCACTTAATCATCGACCTTGCCCCTTCACCGTCGCGGTCCTCCATTAGCCTCCCCTCTCCCATTTCAAGAATCCTAGATACGCCACTCTGTGGGACTTGAATTAATAACAATATCCAAGGTGCGCGACTTATATTATAGCAGTAAGGTCCATCAGGCAATTGATTGGGACCATTGCGTCAAAATGCGTCTAAATTTCCCTAGCGTGAACCAAGCTTAGCAATCAACGCACGCGTCTATTTAAAAAAAATCTCATGGTGGTGAACACGATTGGTTTAATCAGTACGCACTATAGACGGATTGGAAATGCCTGTCAACTCGTGAAAGAGTCATATTTGAATATTTCGCGACATAATAGCATATAGCTTAGACTTTTACTATAGCCCTTTATCGATATGTTTTGCAGTTTGATTACTTCATGGATCAATTTCTTCTCTGGTGTACGTGACCATTCGATTAAGAATGTCTTAAACTTTGTGACATGCATAAATGAGGAAGTTTGTTTCATTCACAATATTGAAAGTAAGTTAGCAGCTGTCTGGCACGAGTTGAAAGACAATCCTCGCGTTCATTTCGATAGAAATACAAGAGTTCTGATAAAGTAATATATGATATTGTTGAACTTTCCATTTCATTGATGACAGTCTAATCTAATAACTAAATTTTACCTGTTGTTGAGTATGATTCTTCAAATTCTATGTTATAGATAAGATGTTCTATGTTATAGATATAGATATGTATAAGATTAGGTACAAATCCCAACGAAAAACGAGAAAATGAAAATGATTAGTGTAAAGCAACATGCACATCCGATCGAACCGAAATTTGGACCACGTTCTGATGCGTTGAACGCCGCCAGCGTCCCTGTTCTTACACATTGATTCGATTTTCTGATCAGTTCGGTGGTCTTCCGATACAAAAATTCGGATTCGGTGTGTGAATGCCAGGCGGGGGGGGGGGGGCAGGGCCCCGTCGGGGAGAGCTCCCCTCCTCCTCGTCGGGGAGAAAAAGCACAATTTGTAGGGGAGAAAAAAAATTATAGGCCTATGTATTTTCTACATATTAATAGACTATAAAAACGAATAAATAAGCCTTTGAAACCCCTAAATTCTCAAAATTTTCGGACCACTTTCGTAACCTTTTAATCGAAGCTCGACCACGCCCACTTTGCTTTCGTCGGGGAAATCTGACCCCTCGTCGGGGCATCGCCCCCCTCGTCGGGGACACCCCCCTCCGGTCGGGCAAATCCTGGCGTCAACCCTGCTGAATGCAACTGAAGAGAGTTGTTAATGTACAATGAAGGAAGAATAATTAAGGTTTTTACTTAGAAGTATCAATGTTAATACTAATAAAATATAACAAAATCCCATCCATCTGGGATATGATATGATATTATGAGGTGTGCTGATGATGACCTGTACTTTGATGATGACCTGTACTTGGATAGTGGGTCGTTAGGCTCTCCATTCCTTTGGTAGGGTCCACAGTGGGTGCTGTCACGAAAACCTTTTTTTTTTTATTAACAACCAACAATGTGTTTACGACTAAAAAGTAGAAAACACACAAATACAACAACTTTGGATTCGTATCGCGTACCATCCAGCAAATGATAGGTTGGCTTTGGCCCCCTAGCCTTCTCAAGGCTATTCCAGCCTTATTTGCTCATAAAAAATATTGTTCGTTGTAGTCAAGAAAAAAAAATGCTAAAATGCCAACCCGGAATTTCGTAAAATTTGGGTGGGTCGGTCGGGCGTGGCCAACACAATAATTTTTTGTATTTTCCTAATTCCAAAATATCAGTCTCCCACCTCCTGTTCTGCAAGAGACGTAAATAATATCATAACATAGGCTTAACCTTTTCTAGTAAATTTAATCAATATGAATTAAATTAATAGAGCACCGCATAATACATTTCAACGATTTAGACAGGGAGGTTTGGCTAACAGTTCTTCAAAAGTATTCCAATTGATACCGTAGTTTATTAAACGTTATAGGGCGTATTATAATCAAAATTTGTAAATCAAAACATTTTAATGGACCAGTATAAGAAAGAGCAGGTCGTAAAATCTACAACGGGGAAGGTCGATGCGCTAGAGGAGCATAGTCGCACTTTCCATTTCTATTCCAACAGAAATGCAAAAAAGAAATTTCAATTTTAATAGTTTCAATATGAGGTGTAGGGGCAGGTGTGGGGGCTTGCATAGTGCCTCAACTGAAACTGATATCTGTACAGTATAACAGCAGACAGGCCGCAGCACAGCACTTCACCTTGTTCTGACTGAAAATATTGCGTAGCAAAACCTCTCTTGATAATATAAACGTAAACCTACAATAGATATAATGATCAATAAATATTAAAATAGTCTAAAAAACATTCACAATAAGTAAATTCGTGGTTGAAACTGCGCATGCCTGTATCCAGGTCAATCGACATAAACCTATGTTGTGTGTATGTTTATGTCAATTGAACTTGATACAGGTATGCACAGTTCAAACTACGAATTGGCTAATTGTATGACATTTATTTATTATTTATTTCTTTATTTTTTGTATTGGGGACCCGTTCAATAGAAAATCTACTGTTCTCCCACAGGGGCAGTACAACACACGTACATGTAGTGTTAACCATATAAATCGAGTAACATGCATTTGAATGTCAAATATACTACTGTATTATAGGCCTATGTAACTTGTATTTGATTATCAAGTGGGATAAAAATACTTAACAAGTAATTGAACGTTATACACATGGTACCCATAAGTAGCAAGTATTTGAATGTCAGGCACGTGTTACATGTAACAATGATATTTGAATGACAGAATTGTTATACATAGTCCTATGTATTTTAATGTCAGACACGTGTTACATAGGCCTATGTAACAGGTATTTGAATGTCCGGCACGTGTTACATAGGCCTATTTAATATGTATTTGAATGTTTGACACGTGTTTAACATAGGCCTATGTATTTGAATGAATGTTAGACACATGTTACATAATAACAAGTAGGCCTATTAGGCATATTTCAATGTCAGGCACGTGCTACACACAAGGCCTATTGCAGGCCTACTTGAACGTCAGATAGGGCCGGCTACGTATTTGAATGTCAACGTTAAGATTAAGCTTTTTACCATAATGTTAAACTAATGTATTTATGTACTTTTGATAACTAGGTAAAACAAGTTCGTATATAATGTACGTATGTATGTATATATCTACAATATAGAATCTTATACTTGAACGAAATAATATGCCTACCGTATATGTATCAGGTCTGTCAACATTCTGTAAAAAAATTAGATTAAAGACATAATGGCACGCCAATGTCGCCAATTATAGATATATTTGGTGACATTTCTTTCAGCCTGACATCATAATCGGTGAAGAATTGTCGGAATTCGGTGCAATCATATACCGTATAGTTCATTGTATTGTGCACCGGCAATCTAATTCGGTGTTAATTTGCATCATGAAAATATGCATGTATATAATGCAATAAATAGTAATAAAGAGCAATGAGGTGATTGAACGTATTTCTACGTTAGCACACTTGTAAAAAGATATTATATGCCTACTTAGTATATTATAGTTTAGTTAAGCGCAGTGATATTTATTATTATTATTATTAATATTATCATTATTTATTTGGTGTTATCTTTATTATTATTACCACCACCACCATCATCATTACCGCTATTATTATTATTATTATTATTATTATTATTATTATTATTATTATCATCATCATCATTATCATCATCATCATCATAACTACGGTTGCCATCGTCGTCGTCGTTGTCATCATCAGTATCATCATCATCACCATCATTGGTTATAATAATATTGATAAATATAATAACAATGATAATAATAATCATGTTCTAAATAATATGTTCTTATCTTTACTGTGTTTTTCCAATAACAATAATCCTCATCTAATCATAACCATCATCATCAACATTATTATTATTATTATTATTATTATTATTATTATTATTATTATTATTATTATTATTATTATTATTATACTACTACTGCTGCTGCTGCTGCTGCTACAACTACATTTACCACGGTACTGAGATTCTCTATGGTAACATTGTATATTTTATCTATGATCTTACTCGCTTGTGTTTTTACTGGCTTGTGTTTTTACTGGCTGGTCTTGGCCAACTGTTTTATACTGTCTACCGTTTACTCTGCCAGCAGGGTAAAAGTAGTTTTTTTTTTTTTTTTTTTTTTATAAAATTCCTTGAAAAACGCCCTCATAAGGGTACGAGTAAGAACGTTCTCGAAACGATTATGTGATTTTAAATAGCAAATACTTTTAATCAAAGATAATAAATAGCAGAAGATAGAGCAACTTCTCAATATAGTGGGACATCCGTTCGAAATGCATTGTGGGTACACAGAGAGCAATTTTACCCCGGCCGCTCGAGTTCGTTTGTTTCCTGTAGTTTCTCTACTTAGTCAAATAGTCCAATTTTACCCCGCTCGCAGGACGGCGGATGTTCCATCAATTTTAATGCAAATACGCGGAACAGCTCATTCTTCTGCTATTTAAGTTCTTTGATTTAATCACCTATCTATTATCTTTCTAAATTTAACGACCTTCAGAACTATAGTCTCTATAATTCCATAATTATCATCCAATCAAAATCAAATGAAATAATCATTTATTTAAATAACCTTTATCACTCATTGCATTTGAAACGCATCACCATTACTATTATATTTATCTTCAGTAAATATTTATTATTATTGCATTTTAAAATACAAGACAATTACAAAATGAATTTTTTCTCCTCGACGCAGCATGCATCAAAATTAAAGGAGAAACAGAGAACACAAAGCATATCTAGATTTTTAACTTGGATTTCCAGACTCTTTGGTTCCTGGTTCAAAACGCTGTTCCTGCCCCATACCTTGGGGGCCCTAGAGCGGCCCAGCCTTATAGGGTATTGGGTAGATGACAGAGACGCCTTAGCTAAGAGCTTCAGACCTCTTCGTATTAGTATCAGTATTACCAAAACATGATCTACACTTACGACAAAATGATATCACCATTACTATACGTCATTGCTGTTTTTCATCATCAATGATAGCCATTAAACATTCAGTTTGGAACTTGATTTCCACGTCACAAAATACAAAAAAAAAAAGATCGAAATACTTTGTTTGACTAACCAAAAGTTGATTAGATCAAAACTCATCTTGTTGGCCATATTATTATCGACCGAACGGGGAACCCGAAGTACCTGTAGGCCTATGATGTTTTACGAAGGTTACTTTTAAAGCTTTAATTTGATTACTTGAACAAACGCATGGGGTGAGTGGTGGTTGACAGTCAACATTAAAATCATTGCTCACCAACCGACCACCAGTCCATAATGTAAATTATTATGCTTGTGCAACATGACGATCTTGTTGGTCCTTTTTAAGTCCCAAATCTGTGACACTTTTTATCTTTCAAGAGGAGACTTAAAATAGGCTTCTGTTAAGCATGGTTTCCATACACTCGCTACACTGTCGCTACAGTTATCTTACTTTAATCGTTGCACTGGGAAGCTGTCCTTGACAGCATCGGTAACACTCCCCGATTCAACTGACCAATCATTATCGCCGAATGAGTCGACCATAGCGTGTAGCGAGTTTTATGGAAACAAGGCTTCAAAGAAAGGATAAATCATTTCCAGTAAATATCGTTTTCAGTAAACCCTCATGACGGTTTATAAAATATAACAACAATCTCAACGACTATTCATTCTTGAGTTGACAAACTACCCCACCAATAGTTAGCGCGCTTCCAATGATGTACAAGAACAAGAACACTCTATCAAGAACTCGAGCGACTTTGATCCAATCGTTCCCGACCTTCCGTGCTACTGCTTCTCCTTCATAGTGCGTCACTATCTTCCTTATTTCGCCTTTCATTTTCCACAGTAAGTCCTCTTGTGCCTTCAATCTTTGAAAGTGTTGATTCGATGGTTGGCAGTTTCCTGTGACTTGTCTTTGTTCTATCATAGGTGAGACCGTAGTTTGGTCAACGATCTCCCACGTTTGGAACTCATTGGCTAGCCTCGTGCCAACTCTGCTGCCCTCATCGTCAGCTTTACAAGACGGCATGATGAAACGAGCTAATTTACATAAAATGATTTTTCTCATCCAATCCGGTACTGGATGTGTGTCTGAACTTCTATGGTGGATGTTTAATACACATGTGGACATTGCTAGTGATAACGATATTAGCGCCATCGTTGCTGCAAAATATTGTCCTACAGATTAAAAAGAATACATTTTAAATTCACTGTCATGCTTAAGATGTAACTGCGTATGGCAGTGTTTAAGTGCCAGCTGCCCCAGCATTCAAGTAATAATCCTGCAAACAATTCAATATCGAATCGTAAAGACGTTTTAATACTAGAGTCTTTCAAATTATATGAAAGATGTTAAAATCAGGCTCCGGAGGAAAAAAATGTTGTACAATTGATTTTTCGCAGAAATAAAAAGCATATCAACTAGATGAGATACAAGATGGTGACACACTTGTGTCGCAAGTGGGAGTCAGAGAAACTAAATTTACCCCACTTCAGGCAAGCGTACCTCTCAGTGGCGCAGGCCCCTTTCCCCTCCCCCAAATAAATAATCGCGCCCCAGTCGGGGTCTCCAAATCACGGTTAAGTAGTCAAAAAAATCACCTTATTTTGCGCCCCTAATCTTCAAGCGCCCCACCTCTCCCCTCCGCCCAACTTCACCTTCTCCCCCAGCAGCCCCCACCCCACATTTCAAGATTCCTAAATACGCCACTGGTCCTCTGTTGTTGAACGCCACTTGAGATCGCAGTGCTAAAAGTATCAGTTTGTTAAACCAATCAAATTATTTTGATTTCTTTTCTATTAAATACTCTATTCTAGAATAAATGCACGCTTCTTACAATCCCAGACCCTGGTTTCTCTGCAAAAAGAGGATTCACTCGAGCAATACCGAGCAAAGATTTACCCTGGACCACCCTGACCGCAGGTAATATCCTACAGGGTCTCTTATTTCGGAACCCCGGTAGGACCCGAGTGATGTTTGCTATCCTATATTGTCCATTTAACTAACTAAACCTTGATGTAAGCTTTTTGTAAAAGGAAATGCAAGTTGGTACGTTGCCATATTCTCTAGCCCTCTTGTGAAAGGGATTCGACAGCGGTAAATCCAATAGTGAATTATGTTTATTAAGATACACATCATATACTAACTTGGGAAGCTTGGTCCCTTCCCACACACTTATCTAATTGATGAATGTGCCATGCGCCTTAACTTTTTTAACATTAATCTTGGTGTTACTGTGTTTTTTGTATAAATAGCATGCCTTGTTTCATTTATTTTATAATAGTCATTCTGTTTTCTCATTTTTCGGCATGTACTGTATAGCAGGTATATCGTACTAATTAATTAAAGTGTGGTTCTTTTCAATCACTGACGCTCAAGGCATTATAGGATTTGATCCGGTTTCCAACCGAGATTTATCTCCATCAATATAGATTTATAATCATAAGACTCAACTGAAGAATGAGCTACCCAAATAATAATATTACTATGTTCTATACATTTTTACAAAATTTTGTTGTATTCGATATTAAAATGTGTAAATTACTACTACTTACAACTAAAAAAGGAAATTATTGGCTATATTTTAAGCTGTTGAAGAACGTTTTAGAACAGAAGTCTTTAATAATTTATTCATCATCATTTGATAATCAAAATAAAACATACGACGCATATAATATAAAGCTGTATGCCGGGTCCGGCGCGCCCGGGACGTTACTACGAATAAATTATGATGGCTTTAAAAAAAAATGCCTCACCTATTATTGGTACTGAGCTAGTGGGTGGCATGGTCTCGGCAACCATTAACAGGAAAACTGTCATCGATAAAAGAACAGTTATACAGAGGCTGATCTTTTCCCCCGACTCAGGGGGTAAAAAGAACGTCATCATAGCAACGATTGAAACAAGGAAGCATGGTGTCACAAGATTGAAGAGGTAATATAGAGGGCGTCTGCGTAAAACAACTTCATATTCTACATCTGTAAATTTCTTGCCCAAATCATCCGGGTACTCTTCTTCCTTGTTTCTAAACGTTATGTTTATCATATCCCACTGACCATCACTGGAGAACACCGATATGTCACCTGACAAATAAATGTTTTGAATGACGAAATTTAAATAATTCATGTTTTATATAGGAACATTAATTATTTAACGATATGTCACCAGTCAGTTACTATTCAGTAAATTGACCGATCAATCGATTAATTAAATCAATCAATCAAATCATTCATGTTTGTTATAAGAACATTACTTATTTAATAATAGGTCACCAGTCAGTTACTAGTCAGTCAATTGACCGATCAATCTACCTATTGATCGATCAATCAATAAATCAATGAACAAATCAATTAAGTAACCGATTAGTCATTCAATCAATCAATACAAATGTGACATTTATTGACATATTTTCAAAGTAGATGGAATAATAAAAATTGAGATACAAGAAAAGAAAGGAAGAAGGTACTATTATCAATAACAATCAATCTACCGTATTTATTCGAATAAACGCCCCACTTTGAATGAACTCCTCCTTCAGAGCCTCATTCGGAATAAACGCCCCCGGGGCGTATATTTGTTTTCCTTGAATAAACGCCCGCCTCAATGACTGTAAACAAATTTATTGGAAGCAACATAATTCACAACACATTCTATTAATATTATACCCAAGTAGAATTACTTTTTTTCTAACCTGGTTGAGATCAAAAAGTTTTATGATCACTTTAAAAAACTTGAAGCGGAAGTGCTCCTTTTACGCTGTGCAGTAAAAGCATAGCCTCCCCATGATGTGATTTTTCCCTGAAAATTGATGAGTAGGAGTTTGAAACCAATCAGACTTTTACCAAACTTTAGTTACCATGGTAAGAAAACAAATTTAATACAACAGCGACATCGACTATAACACGACAAAATATTACAGTTTTCACCTAAATTAGAAATGTTCTTTGAGAATTATGATAGTATTTAGCGTAAATTTCCTAATTAGTGAAATAATATTTATGCAAATGAGCAACTAGCCTAACCTTATTAGTGAAATATTCATAATGGAAATAAACAATTAGCATATTCACACACGTCATAACAAAAAAACCCAATAGGCTCTGTCTTCTTATTGCCATCTGGCATTAGGCCTATGCCAAGTTTGAAACCATAATTGGACTTACCGAGCTTTAGTTATATTGTGGCAACAAACAAATGCCCAACAGCGACAACGACGACGACAACGACAACAAGATGAAGAACAAAGGCGAAAAACCTTTGGGTAGTGGAGGCTAATAAAATCGTCTCTCGAATAAACGCCCCCTAGAGTAAACGCCCCCTCTAAATCCGTTCTCAACAATAAACGCAACGGGGCCTTTATTCGAATAAATACCGTATTAATATCAATCAATCAAATCATTCTCCAATATACGTATAAGAATCACCTGTGTACACCTACCTCCCTCTCCCTGAATTCCGACCTCACTTTTGTCGTGTTGCCATGGACCAAACTTCAAAGAGCAGGTTTGTTTGTCGAATGGGAACGCGTTTACGTTGATTTTGCAGTACGTCGTGAAGATGATAGGCGAGGCCCACGTCACCGTCCCATTTGCTGTCACTATCACCACATGATCCTGCATGAAGTTGTAGTAATTTCCAGCACTATAAATAAAATGTGATATGCCCATATATTATAGTCATGACGTGCCTATATATGGTCATGATGTGATGTCATCATGACCATATTTAAGCATGTCACATGTTTTTGTCAAATGAAGTTTGATAGGCTAGGCGTGACCCGAGAGCGCCGAGACGACCCGATACGTTTCATTAAGTCACGTACGGAAAAAAATCGCAGTCTGGACAAGGCCTAATACATAACAACAATAGCTATAGGAACTCTAGTAGCGTATCTACTCGGGCGCCCTCACACATACACTAGAAATTTGTAGAGCAAACGAAATAAATAAAATATCTAAAATAGTATGATCAGGGCCCAGGATTAAAATATCACCTTAATGCCCCAGCTATCGTCATCTTACCTTCTTATCCCATTCACTCTCATGTTAATTCACGAGATACAACTCTGTTGCAAAGGGTTTTTTTTCTTTATTACAGAGAGAAGATTAAGATATTTACAAGTATTTTATATATAGAAAAATATGGATTTTTTTATATATCCCGACAACCAACTGGTGATGGTGGCTAAATCTTTATATGACGCAAATTCCAAAACTGATTATTGACCTACTTTTTTACAAAATTCAATTATGAATAATTCATGCTTAATCTATAGAATGGACTTTAAAAAGACTTACTAAAAAGTCCATAGTATAATGTATGCCGCATCCAATCTATTTTTTTTTTCAAGAAACTAATAGATCGCCAAATGAATTAATGAAAATGAATTCACTCTCCTCTGAGTGTAAAAAACCCCCCAAAAATTTACAAGTATTTTATATTTAGAAAAATATGGATTTTTTGATATATCCCGACAACCAACTGGTGATGGTGGCTAAATCTTTATATGACGCAAATTCCAAAACTGATTATTGACCTACTTTAAAAAAAAATCAATTATGAATAATTCATGCTTAATCTATAGAATGTACTTTAAAAAGACTTACTAAAAAGTCCATAGTATAATGTATGCCGCATCCAGTCTATTTTTTTTCAAGAAACTAGTAGATCGCCAAATGAATTAATGAAAATGAATTCACTCTCCTCTGAGTGAAAAAAAACCCCAAAAAACTAAATATTTATTTAGTGATTTAAATTTGTTTAAAGGAAGATGTATTTTTATTATATAATTTGAAAGAGGCACAGTAACAAGTTGCCCTATGTAAAGTTTGGTTTCCATACAACCGCTGCTATCGCCGAGCTTTCGGTTAAGCTCGGTTTCCATAGAATCGCTCACCCTTTCGGCGACAGTCGCCGACAGTTGTCGGGATGGTGGAACCTGTTTCAACTTTGCTGATTGCGTTGTATTCAAGGCGCATTGCCAGCTGCCCTGACGCAATCGGGAAGGCACCCCGAATCGTCTGCAACGCAATCGGCAAAACTTTCCACATTTAACCTTTTAAGGAAACCAGGCTTTATGCTGACTGGTCGGTCGAATCGGGGAACCATCCCGATTGCGCCGGAAACTGCTACTCAGTGCAACGATTGCACTGAAAACAGATTGCACTGAAAAAACTGTAGCGACAGTGTAGCGATTTTTAAGGAAACCAGCGAGTGCGTTCATTGAACGCCGTAAGAAATAGAACACTTAAATGTACTTGATAGAATAGGGGGGGGGGGCAACCCTGTAGCTATAAGCCGGTAATTCACGACTCATGATTTAATTAATTTACGATAGTTAATTATACGACATGGTAAATGAATATAGTGTGGCATAACAAAGGTTATTCATTTAACGTCAGCAACATTAAATTAAACGTGATCAACGCAGCAGCATTATGCTTACTACCACTTGTGCATTCGGAATTATGTAAGAATCAGTAATAATATGCTTGTTAAACTTTGTTATGCATTGTATCAGCCACTAGCAAATTACTCTTCGTAAGAAAAAAAATAATTACGGTTCAAACTTTACAATAACCATTGTATCTATAATCCATACACGATTTAGATACATATATATGCTGTATATTGAATTTGTATGTCTAACAGGTTCTCACATTTTAATAATACGGAATTATAAGAGCAGAACAAATATTTTTTTTCATAACATTTTCTGGACCTTTGTTGAAGTCTTTTTGATTTAACTAGACAAAAGGCTGAATACACTAAATAAAATACAACAAACAATAATACTGTAGCAAGAGAATATATACATTAAACTCGTAAAATTAATTATAGAATGATTATAAATCTTACTTGTTATATAAGGTTATATCTGGCATCCAAACCTTTGATGTTGGTACCTTCAGGTTGCGAATTCCAGTAAAATTACCAGGAAACCAACGTAAATATTCGTCAGTCCAAATCTGTTAGTAAGTTAGGCCTATACAATTAATATCAACGGCGATGTACAGATTTTGTCCAATTATAAGGATTTTAAATGTTAAAATGTTATTGAAGTGAGTGAATTCGTAAATTTAGGCTTACACGGTAAGTATGGTACGTACATTATGAATCACAGTTAGAATATCGAGTCAAGTGGCTGAGCAGTAAGGCAGGGACGCCGCTAACTACAGCTTCAACATCATCGACGCTGGTACGAGCCCCTCAAATACCCAGATTTCGGTTGGTAGAACCAAGTTTTCTCGGATAAGGATTTGGAGGTCCAGTGTACACATCTGGCTCGTGTGCACTTAAAGAACCCTTTGCATCTTCCGGAAGAGTAGATGGTTCACCCGGGCCCCTGTCGTTGGGTAATTATGTGAACATGAATCTATTATAAACACCACGCTCACACGCAATTCAGCACAATGACGCTGAGAGTTATGGGTTTATCCTATGCGTTTATCATAAGATTTACAATATAAAACCAGGGAACAGTGAAATTAAAAGTGGCATACCTACTGCAGGTTCAGGCGGTTCATTGAACCAGAGCCCCCGATCTCCAAGGGGCCCCGATTTTTAGGGGCGCCGCTCCCTTATAAAAATATAATAATCAAAGCAATGCATATACAAATCTGGATTGATAGTATTTATGTATATATAATGAACATTAAAATTTAAAATTGTTAATAATGTTAAAATAATCAATTAGGCCTATACATGCAGTTCAGTGAAACTCGGGACAAATTCTCTGGTGGGGTTCAAATTGTACTTATAGACAACAATATTAGGGATTCGCATCACCGTATAACTTTTGGATTGGGCCATAAAATTAATATATCAGTTCAACGACGGCCTCGTCGTGGCGTCGTACGACGGGGTGGGGTCTCCAGGCTTTTCGGACGGGGAGGAGGGGATACTGATTTTCACGCAGGGTATTATACCCTGTGTAATCATAACATATGTTTTATTCAATTAGGCCTACGACGTCTTTTTTATATTTATTTCACAATACCCGTCAACTCGTATAAATATAATAGGCCTATTCATTGTTATTCATATTGCATTAAAATAATGTTTTCGTGATTATTTACTCATGGGGAATAAGCATACTGTACCCTTGATATTCATAACACCTGTTTTATTTAATTAGGCCGCATTTATCTTTTTTGTATGTGTTCCACAATATCTGTTATCTCGTATAACACTTTATTTATTCATGGAGGAATTCATTCATGATTCTAGTTACGGCATTGATAAGAAATTTTAAACAATTTATTTTTCTAAAATGTTCGCAATACACGGTCTTATTCCCATTATTTAAAACACTAATTGTGATTTGGTTGATTTTGGATCATGGTAATATAGCAGTCTTTATGCAAATAAAGCGTTCATAACCTGCGTGGTGATTTTCTTGGCCCACTATAGCAGGTACAAGGCCTAGGCCCTATTTTCTTTTTTTGTAAATAGGCCTATTTATAAGCCTGATGTTTTCTTGAGTCATACTTGTAGGAATAGGATATCCTGTAAGGTCAAACTCTTCCAACAAAATTTGTTTATTATGAGAGGGTTCCGTCATAAACATTCCCCTTACTCCCTCACATCCGCAACAAACTCGGCCATAAGGGAGATCTTTTTAATCCGCTGTGAACATTTGCTATAGCATAGGACGAAAGCTTGTCTCTTAAACATGTCGGTGATGATAATTTTGTCAACCTAAACACTAAGTATTAACCCATGCCTATAAAGGTTTCTTTCTTTTAAAATGTTCATAGTAGGCCTATGTACTGGCACTTTTACTTCCATAATTAATCATTATTCAAGCACCAGAAAGCTAGACTGGAAGAGTGTTCTGTGGGAACAAAATAGTCCAACTAAACTGTAGATTAAATGTAGACCACTTTAAACTTAAAACCCATTTTACACCTAAAATATAACTAATAATATGGACCCACCTTTAAAATAGAACCAATTTCAATCGTATAAATTCAATAATGTTGACCATTTAAAAAAGTTTACATTTCTCAAGCATAAAATCGGGCTAATGTGGACCCTTCTTTTAAAATATGGATCCATTTCGTGCATATATACTGAAAAATGTGGAACATTTTACAAACTGGGACCCATTTTATGCGTGAAGCTAATAAAGTGGAACCGCATTTTTAAAAAGTTGACAATATTTAAATAATCTTCCCTTTTTTATGCATATAATATACCGGTATCTAATGTGGACTCATTTCATGTGGATAAACTTAATAAGGTGGCCACTTTAACATCAGGGATCCAGTTTACACATAAAATCTAACTAAAGTGGACCCACATTTTTAAAAAGTGGACCCATTTAAAAAAGTTATTTTTTACATAAAATATATTTAATGTGGACCCACTTCATTGTATTATTTGATGCCTATGTAAGATAGTCAAAGCTTAATAATGTGAACAACTTTAAACCCAGTTTACACATAAAATCTAACTAAAATGGACCCACATTTAAAAAAGTGGACCCATTAAAAAAGTGTTATCTATTGTATGCATAAAATCTAACTACAGGTAATGTGGACCCATTTATTAAAATGACTCATTTTATTATATCTATTTATATATCCCATAGCCGTCGGAAGCATTTTGCAATTGGTCCGGCCATTATAGTGAGGGGGTGGTGCGGGGGGGGGGGGTGGTATGAGCACTTGACAAATTTGGTAGTAAATGAAGAGTGGAGACCTGCTATCTCTATATACAGCTACAGGATTTTGAAGTTAGTCTGGAGGTCTGAGAACATAATTATCATATCAACTCTAGCCCCACCATGGTTGGTAAACAACTTGTTTGGCGCCTATGAATGCCCGGAAATAGATGCTGGCAACATAGACCCGCTATCCCTTCCCCTCAAGGGGCAGCCACGATATATAAAGTTAGCATGGATGACAGTCTATGTTGGAAATATGGAACTTTTGAATGCCATGAAATAGCAGCTGGTAAAACTGTAGAAAATAATATTGTTAAAAATTTAATTTCTTATCATAGCCACAAGTAGATAAATTGAGTTGCTTATTCCTCCAGAAGAGCAAGAAACATGAATACATA